CCCCCTCCCCTCAAAAGTCTAATGGAGCGCCCCTAAACACAACACTGCCATTTTTTGTGAATTTCGAGCTGTTTTCGGCCAAATTATCTTCCATTTTCTTGTCCTTGTGATCCTTTGTGGTCGGATTCATTAAGAAATGTGATGAACTCGGCGATTACGAAAATACTCCGTGAAAGTGTATAGATGGTTCACGATAGTTCTCGACAAGCTCACGAGTTAGAAAGTCCGAACGCTTTCCGATGTCTGCCCAGCAACCTGGGGCACACATCGGTCCACGACGAGTAAAATGCTTAATGTTCTTTTTCTCGTCATGTAAAAAAACATTTTGCACTGAAAATCATGAGATAGTTAGGAAATCTGGCGATGTGTTATAATTTGAAAGAAAATCGTCGTTTCTCGGTGAAATAGAAGCAAAATTATATTTGTCACGTGACCAGTGTTTCATACCTTGTCACAGACTACAGTTTGTATCCCGCGAGGCACGGGATCTTGACGTAATACCACAGGTAACCCGATGCTCGCGCCGATTCTTCGATAACATGATAACTAGACGCTCAAAAGCGTTTTACATGGGCTTCCTTCCTTCGATCGACCAACCATATGACAACTATTCTTTTGGGATCCCTGTGGTTCAATTCGCAAAGCATCTTGGGGGACTATACACGACTTTGATAGATAGATTGATTGAAGAAAAGGTATATTAAGACATGAGCTTCCGCAGGAAGCCCATGTAATAAGCGTGCGCATTCATTCTTTTCTTTCTGATCTCTAAAGCAATAGTTGGGTGGCCTATGTAAAGTGAAKTAGATTTGACCGGAAGAGGCGAAGTTGTGCCGTTTCCGGTATGCTTCATGTCGTCACRATAATGTCAAAGTTCATTTAAGTTTTCCCCTAGACGTGTTTAGCCACAAATTGATTATTCATAGCGTAGTGTAAGCATTTGGGAACAAGTTTAGAAATCTGTCAGTTAAAGACACTGTTAAACCSGCTGTTTTCATACCGCCAGCCGAGCTGTAATTCCCATGGCTGTAGAGCCGTATTATAGCGTGTTTGTCTTCTGGCTTATTGTTTTGCTTCTGATTGGAGACGAGATTCAAGGTAYCTTATGCTCAATATATCAAAGTACAGCATAATTACAAACAATTACTTAGACTAAATACTCACTTCTATTCATGATATAAAACCTATTATTGACAATTAATATAATATGTATATTAAAAAGTTATACATTCTAAGCAGCAAACAGCACTCGAAAACTGTTAATCAGAATAGCAAGGATTTCTTGGAGTGATTTCATATYTAATTGCGGTCAGGACCTTCGACTGAATACTGTATTAAACTGGGCATTAAATTGCTAGTTCTCTGGGGAAATACTACATGCTAGCTCGAATAGAAAAGTTTGTAATTATACTAAAAAAAACTTAAATAACGAAAGCTTGCGCAAGAAATCGAATTTTTTATGCTGAAGCACAAATATTGTCGAGAAAATGTTGGAACAATTCATTGAATCATTTTTAAACGAGACTCAACGTGTTGCAAGTCAGAGGCAAGTATTTACTAATATTTCATCAAGTTGAATTATTATTTTTTTGGGGTATCATTTTCTTAAGCGTGATGACTCTAATGACCCAGTTACATCGTTGTCAATTAATTAATTTGTTTTATAAACGAATGTAATTATCTTTAAGTTATGGTTTAAGTGATTATGAGGTTAGTTTTCATTTCCTTTCTTCTCATAATTGAAGATTGTTATCACTGGTTCGCCAATGTATTGTGTTGGAAAATTTTTTATTTCATTATTAATTTTATCATACTCTGCGAACAGAGCTACTTTTCTCACCCGCCGAGAAGCCAGAGAAAAGTAGCCGTTCGTAATTTTTTATCTTTTAAATTCTTTTAATAGCTTTCTATTTTCTGTTGGAGCACATCGGCCAAGCTGCCTGGCCTTCTCTTTATCATAATCACAATAATCATTATAATAATCGTTTATTCCGTACTATTGTACCATGAGGAGAAATGTAAAAGCTTCCTTCTTTCTATTCGTTTACGAGAGATAGTCCAAGGGAAGGAATGCACCTACATTACACATATACAAGAGTGCTAGCGCAGTGTTCTAATAGGGCCTCCCTCTCACAAGAAAAAAACCCTCAGACAGACAGACGTCGAAGTTGACCACAGATCTTTGTTATAGTTGTTTTAGAATACAACCTTTGCCTCATAAAAGATTGACATTTTGAGTTTGCTACCAAATGACTACATTTTTTGTGGTCGATATATGCTTRCCACATAAACCGGAAGTACCTTGGAATTGAAATYTTATTGAATTGAAAAAGAAGAAAGAAAATGTCCTTTTGCCATAGAAGATAATTTTTTATTATAAATTCAGGTGAATGGGATCCCTAGATTTTTGCGATCTTAACTCCTGCTGGTCCCTTAGGCCTCGTTTCAATTCCATTGTTTTCTATTGACTTCCGGTCCACGTTGAAGCATTTATCTAGCGGGTGCGATGTCTCACCTTATGATTTTGCTATATTTAGAAATAAGTTGTCAACTGTAACCAAAACAACGAAATTGCTTTAATGAATACTAAGAATTTTGCGACATTTTAACAGCCGAAAATGTCGATATTTCAGATGGATGTGCGTTTCGAGGTGCAATGAAAATATGAGCGCTGTGATTGATAATGATTAAGAACAGAAAGTAATTTTGTTTATCGTTTCAGTTCTTATTCTTTTCATCAATCAGTCTTTAATGTCGTTGTACCGTGATATTCCTATCGATTGCCATATCGTTTAAGTGTCTGATTCAGTGTTTGTTTCTCTGATTGTTTTAGCACGTGAGATTGTCACCAACAAAGATAGCACATTTGTAGTCGCCTTCCCTGCCCAAGAACCAAGCGCCGAATCTAAAGGTTCAAACAAACTCTTCCTGACTTCAGACGAAGACGCTTATGCACTGATAACGATCCCTTCGATGAAGKRGGCTRACARGTTCGTGACACTGCGTCCGGGGGGGACCATGAGAGTCGAACTCCCTGGTAGTGTAAGAATGACCAGTAAAACAGGCCTGGGGCCGAAGAAAGGAATTAACATTTTCTCCAATTCATCCATCTCTGTGTACGGAGTCAGCATGGTACAACATTCCAGCGATGGATTCCTGGCGCTTCCATTGAGTCTCCTATCGCTAGGCAACGAATACATGGTTGTCACTTATAAACCTGTTATGAACTCCTTTGTCATGGTAACAGCAAAACATGACAACACCGATGTCACCTTTCATCTAAAGTTGTCAGGTTCTGGGGAGGTGAATGTGGAGGGGCTAAAGTATAAAAATGGAGATAACTTTTCAGTCTCTTTACAAGCKCTAGACTCATTTCAGTTACTGGCGGACGACCTCGCTGGTTCCTTAACCGGAACTAGAATTACATCAACTAAAACATTGTCAGTTTACTCGGGCAATGACTGCGCCAATATTCCCGAGAAAAGTCGGAGCTGTGATCACTTGTTAGAGCAAATGACACCTATTGCAACTTGGGGAAATGTCTTCTTGGTTAAGTCAACGGCCTATCGAGGAGCTGGCGATGTTTTCTACATCTTAGCATCACAAGACCAAACCAAGATTACAATAGAACTTCAGAAACCATTTTACACCACGATCAATGCCAGCCAGTTTTATGAATATCAGTCGAATCCTGGGGCGAGCGTTGTGATTCGTACAAGCAAGCCTGCGCTAGTGGTACAGTTTGGTAAATCTCACTCGGTTGACAATTCAAAGTTCGCGCCATTCATGAGTATTGTACCACCTAATGACCAATGGTCAAACGACTATACAMTTGTAGTACCTACTGCTGCCTCTGGAGCTCAAGGGGCGCCGAGTCCGTTTAAGTGCTTTGCCAACCTTTTCGCTGAGACTCGACAAACGAAAGAAATCGAATCAAAACCAGVCGTTAATATTGCATGGCAACCCATTCCTTTCTCTTTGTATTCATCGGCTACAGTGAACTTAACTTCAGGCCAGTACCGTTTATATCATAAATCGCCTTTGAAGTTTTTTTCGGCTATGTTCCTTTGTAATGCGGACTATGAAGCCTATGGTTTCCCTGCAGGCTTAAGAATCTTTCGACGCTCTTCGAAATGTCAATATCCGAATATGATCCCTGCGGATCGAAGAGACAACGATTGCGACGATCGTGCAGACGAAGAGTTATTGAATGGTATAGATGATGACGGAGATGGAAAATTTGACGAAGATTTAGCCACGCCTATACCTGTATTGCAAGCGCCAGGCAATGTTGTGGAAAGCCGATGTTATGAGCCTATGTATCTATCAAGAATAGCGAGCACCCCGCCTTATATAGCCTTCGGAATGTGCAACATTCGAGGCGATTTAAAGATAGTATACAGGGACGTCTCTTTATCAAGTCAAGGGTGTTATGCGCGCAAAAACCGTACATGGACATTAACCGATGGCTGTCTAAATACAATACGACAAAGCCAGATTGTTAGTACTTACCTGAAGGAGCCTTTAATGGTAGAATTCCCACGCTTTATCCCGTCTGAAAGTTGTAATTATTATAACCTGGGTCATAATTATGACTCAGGTAAGCCTACCATAGTCTCAAATTGTCCAGGAAATCTGACTATTACCCATCATGACGTTGGGTGGGAGAATATGCCAAAATGCAGCTACACACACTCCGTGTCGGTGAATAGGACATGGATTGTAACCAATGGTTGTACCACAGTAACCGGTGTTCAGATTATAACGTTAAAGCTACAAGGTCTGTAAGTTACACATAACATTGATCGTGTATATTAGCGGTAACTTCTTTATAATTTGACTCAGGTGGTTGTAGCGAGTTGTAAGCTTGAACTACAGTACGACGTTCGAGTTGTTTGTATGGCGCGTGTATACCATCTGAAGCTTTCGCCTTGCTTTAGTTGTAGTGAGTTGTAGCTCTGTTCAAAAGCCCTGGRTTCTGTATTTACAACTCAYKCAGTATGACACGTGTCTCAGATTGTGTATTGTGTATCATCAGGTCATCGTCCATATGTAAAAGTACAAAATCAACCAGTTTTGTCAGCCRCTGGGAAGAACATCACCCTGGGATGCRAGGTCAGCGGTGGAGCTCCTAAACCTACSGTCACGTGGGTAATGCCTGACGGGCAAACCGTCAACAAGACCAATTCCATTCATGATATCGARGTCCTGGATGATTTAAGTAAACGGCACAGAATTAAGAGTGTTCTGGACGATAATTCATTGTTGATCGCAGGGACTCGCGTCCGAGATACTGGCATTTATCGATGTGTTGCCAACAACCCTCTTGGKAAAAGTACGGGTACAGTGAATGTTACGATACATGACGGTAGGTATACTTACTTCACTCACACACTTATCCGCGCAAATAAGCTTTTTTTATATAGCAGTTTTATAACATATAGCTATCCGATTGGTTGGAATTAGGACAAAAGGTACAATTTCCTTTTTCTTGCTTAAATGCAATACGCATGGTCTGTTGACTTATCCTGATATATCGGATACTTGTGGACGATCGGATACGATTCGTACATGCTTTGTGTGGACGTAGATATAGAGGATATTACATGCGCGCGTGGAGATACGGATTTTATCTTCGAGTGTTGAAAAGAGAAGATAAAAGAGAAGATAAAATTCGTATCCCCAAGTGAACATGTAATATTCTATTTATCATATAATTTTATATGAAAGCAAATTATGTCTTACTTGCATTATATAGAGAAACCTCGAATGTGTTATTTTCACTAGTGAAAATATCAATTTTACGAAATGGAGAAATATTGGTTTTTCATAGATAATTATATGATAAATTTTTTTATTATATAATTATCTACGAAATACCTATATTTCTCTCTTTCGAGAAGTTGTTATTTTCACTAATGAAAATATAACACATTCGAGGTCTCTCTTKATAGTGGAAGTAAAAAAAGGCATTTTACAAAATAATTTGCTTTCATATGTAATTATATGCTAAACAGAATATTACATGGTCGCTTGGAAATACGAATTTTATCAGTTCTCGTGTTAAAAATCTCCCTTCAACACTCGAAGATAAAATCCGTAYCTCCGCGTGCCCGTGTAAYATCCTCTTTGTATCCAAATAATACTTGAGAATATTAGTAGAAAAAGTCTCAGTTTTCAAAATGAGTTATTGTTTTTAATGTATGCTTCTGTTTGAAGACCTTATCGATGTAGATGCCAGTGTAACTATTAAAGACTTAAAGTTTAATCCAAACTTAAATAAACCCATCCTGGATGAAGAATTAGACCACGAAATAATCGAACTCAAGAGAAAAATAAAAAANTGCTGAACTGCACCGCTGCCTTGTATTAAGCGTCTATGCACATGACTTGCTGAACTGCACCGCTGCCTTGTATTAAGCGTCTATGCACATGACTTGCTGAACTGCACCGCTGCCTTGTATTAAGCGTCTATGCACATGACTTGCTGAACTGCACCGCTGCCTTGTATTAAGCGTCTATGCACATGACTTGCTGAACTGCACCGCTGCCTTGTATTAAGCGTCTATGCACATGACTTGCTGAACTGCACCGCTGCCTTGTATTAAGCGTCTATGCACATGACTTGCTGAACTGCACCGCTGCCTTGTATTAAGCGTCTATGCACATGACTTGCTGAACTGCACCGCTGCCTTGTATTAAGCGTCTATGCACATGACTTGCTGAACTGCACCGCTGCCTTGTATTAAGCGTCTATGCACATGACTTGCTGAACTGCACCGCTGCCTTGTATTAAGCGTCTATGCACATGACTTGCTGAACTGCACCGCTGCCTTGTATTAAGCGTCTATGCACATGACTTGCTGAACTGCACCGCTGCCTTGTATTAAGCGTCTATGCACATGACTTGCTGAACTGCACCGCTGCCTTGTATTAAGCGTCTATGCACATGACTTGCTGAACTGCACCGCTGCCTTGTATTAAGCGTCTATGCACATGACTTGCTGAACTGCACCGGTGCCTTGTATCCCGGCCTTGTATCCCGGCTCAGAACTTGCAAAGTTAYTGTGTTAGGAACGTGAAAACGTCTTTTATTGTACAGCGATTGATTTCAGTTCGTCTCAGTTTATGAATGAGTARGTAATAATCGATATTTTCCTGTTGATGTAGAAAAGCCACCCCCACCAAAGAACGTGAAAGCCAATGAGGTGAAAGAATCAACAGTCCATATCTCATGGGTTCCACCTGACTTCATAGCCATGTATGCYATATCAGGCTATATATTGCAGTATAAGATATTTGGTGATGACCACTGGATGACGTATGATACCGTTAAAGGCGATAACCATAGGATCGGGGGTCTGAATCCAGGGACTGGGTACCAAATTAGAACCAAGGCCCAAAACAAATACGGTCATAGTGAACCGAGCAGTAGCCTKGAGATCACAACTCTGGATGAAGGTAAGATCTCAAACACTATACTAAAATGTCCAATAGTTTATATAATRTAGCATTGTCMTAACAGTAACCACTGGGACGATYCAAGCCAGGTCACTAGATACACTGTGCTGTGGAAACCCAGTTTCTATATTTTCGCTATTTGTATGGCGCTCGAAGCTTTGAAAGCACATGTTTGCAATCTTTATAATTCAGTCGTTTCACAGCAAGGTTAAAAAAATGTTCTGAATACGCTATTTTGTTTTTCACGGATTTATGAAATTGACTGCAGTATGTTCAAATCTGTGGGAACTAGCGGGTAAAAAAAGCATGTAAAATAACTTACTGTCCGACGAAGGATTAACGTCTGAAACGTCAGTAAGTTATTTCACATACATTTTACGGTGTTAAATTTATCTTTTTACACAACTGTTCAAATTTGTTATTRTTTTGTGAAGGTTTGACTGGTRCACAGATAGCTCTTATAATTATCATACCGCTTGTCGTCATCATAATATGTGTTGTCACGTGGTACATCTATGGAAAAAGAAGAAAATCAACAGCATTTCAGAGAACACCGTCTGATAACCACTTATTGGTGAGAACTCATYTGTCATTGATTTATTGACGATCGTAACGAGGAAAATGTGATAATGATGATGGTAATATTACCCTTACAACTGTGAAAAGGGTTTTTCGGTCATTGAGTCTCTTGAATAAGTTTGTATTGCTAATTACTATCATGTTCTCACATTATCACGAGAAGGCCTTGTCAGAAATGAAAGTTGTAATTTAAAGACMCATGCACATCCATGATCCTTTGCGGGATTTTTCAGTCAGGAAGCCCTTTTCATCAACAAAGATCATTTKTAAAACAAAACAAACAAAGGTTCATGGAAAATCAAGGGAGTCATTTTTTCTGAGACGATAGAGAAAGAGAAACCGTTCCCCTAAGTTACCCACTAATACATAAAAAAATGTTGTGCCTCCGCGTGACAACCGTTTTGCAAGTACATGTACCATGATAGCAATACAAGATGTGTTTTTTTTTACCTCGTGTCTAAAGGACACTGGTGTAGTGCGATATTCCCGACCAAAAGACTTGATTCAGATCAATGAGAATCACCAGTGGAAGGAAATCGATCGCAATGCGCTGGAACTTGGGCGTGTACTGGGTGAAGGCGAGTTTGGTATGGTGATAGAAGGAAAGCTTACACAAAAGGATGGCACCGTCACAAGATGTGCTGTCAAGAAACTAAAGCGTAAGTGTCGATCTCCCTTTCTGACACTTCCGTCCCTCGCGCCCTTAGTTCTGCTCACCCATAAAAACGTGAAAAATCATCAAATTGTTGTGTGTGTTTTTTTTTTTACTTTTCCAGGCCTTTCCTGGAAAACTGGAATGTTAGCTATGTTAATATGAGTTTGTAGCTATAGAATCAATATTTGTACCGAGTTGGAATTTATTCTATTGTTTTTGCGTTACAGAAACAGCTACGGAAAGTGACATGAAGGACCTGTTAAACGAGCTTGATATCATGGAACAAGTAGGCAACCATCCAAACATCGTRAACTTGATCGGAGCTTGCGCTTTTGGTGGTGAGTTTAATGTCGTTGATCTGCGGCACTCTATCATTAGGCATGCTCTAAACCTCACTTAGAGACTTGTATAGGCTTTATTTGAATAATGAAATCATGTTGCATACGCATAATTTGTTTGCAACTCCACTTATTGGTCGATTAACTTACTTTGTATCGTGAATACCCCATTTTCAAATTGAAAGGGAAAACCGATGTTATATTTGGAGCATTGCTTATGCGTCATTACGCTATGTCTAACGTGACATTTTATTTGACCGTAAACGTCTTTTTACGTAAATAAGTCAACCGTTTTACTTGTTATTCAAGGTCCTATTTTAGTGGTAGTGGAGTTCTGTGCCAATGGTAATCTCCTTAGATATCTTCAGAAGCAAAGTACCAGAACGTATGAAGACATGACTGAGTACCAGATCCACATCTCACCCAGAGAACGACTCAAGATCGCAGSTGATGTGGCTAATGGAATGGCACATCTCGCCAGACGAAGGGTAAACCAGGGAAATCTCTAAATGAAACTATTCAATGGTGTTTATTWTGATGATAATTTTCTCCAAGCAATGTTATATTAACTTCTCTTTATACCATCAGTGCGTCCACAGAGATCTGGCCGCGCGCAACGTTCTTCTGGACGAGARGTTTACAGCAAAAGTGTCCGACTTTGGTCTGTCACGTGACGTGTATACAGACAACGTATACGAGAAAACTACTGGGGTACGTCACAACCGGCTTTTAATACCGCTAGCCAGACAGTAGTCCGCAAATTCCTTTCTTGATTTCACTGAAMATATTCACCACTATTTAATATAGCACAGATGGCAGCCCTGTTGGTTGCTTGCATTTGAAATAAAAAGAACTTCCATTCATTTCATTCGTTCTAGTTTTCCTTGCGTGAAAATATCTCGTCGTTCCCGACATGCATTTTTACATGATGCCACACCTAGCTTTGAATGAATGTCCTTATGGTCTAATGTTAAATCAATAGGCATTTGATTTGATTGTAGGGTAAGTTACCTGCTAAATGGATGGCGATAGAAGCCTTGGAAGCTGGCATGAACACAACACAGAGTGACATGTAAGTAATATAAAAATATCGTTAAGTTGKCCCCATGTATCGGTCATTACATGAAACCCTTAATTCGGCGAATACTGGGTTACGATCGTTTGAACTGGAAAAGAAGTTCTCTACTAAGAAGGAGCAGTAGATCCATGCTCACAACCTCACTTAGAAGACCAACCTACACTTCGCAGAATCATACAAACATGAACGCGTTGATCGATCGCACCATTATTGGATTTTCGCTGAATAGCGTAGAGGAAATAATAGAGACTAATGTTTGTATTCATCTCTTTTCCAGATGGTCCTTCGGTGTCTTACTATGGGAAATTGAGACTGGAGGTGATTAAGTGTCCACTTACTATTCTCCCCGCAATACTCCTCTACCTTCCCCATGCAATCTTGAAAGACATACGTGTTTTGGCCGTGAAGCGTTCACGACCTTTCATGCTGCAGTGATTGACACGTTTTTTCAAACATCTGACAAATATTCACAAATATCGTGTCATTATGAGTGGAGCAGTACTTTTAGCTTTGTTGCAAAGGCACAGGAAACTGCAGGAAACTGCAATATAACTATTGGTGAAGAATGATTTGCTGCATTTGTGTCTTTTCTTAATAACATCAAATACTCAAGATAAGCATTTATTAAAATCTCTTGTGATTTTATTCAGGGTGTATACCATACCCAGCGTTCTCAGCGATGGAGATGTTGGCAGCCTTAAAGCAGGGATATCGATTAGAAAGACCTTCTTCTTGTTCCATCTCACTGTAAGTAACCTAGAATTCAACACAATTTCACAATTTCATTTTACCTAGAAGATTCACAATCCCTAAGCAACGTTCCTCGCGCGCAACGGCGTTATGAAGCAAGCTAATGGAGAATTGGACAGTGTTACATTGGCTGCCTTCAAGAAATTAGACAAAACTTACGAGGAAAGTTGCTAAAGGTTTGTGTGATTGCGTTGCAGATTGCTGCAAATCGCAGTGACTTCTACTTCATGCAGTGCAACACTCAGCACAAACTGTTGCGAAACAATCTCTACTGTACTGTGCAATTCTCCTAGCAATTTGCTCAACACCATAGCGAGGTCAAAATTGAGRATAAAATTCACAGATTCACAGTTTAACTTTGCAGATTTTCAAATAAGTGTTTGTAATTTGAGTTGGAGTAAAGAATGATTTAATTCAGAAGTGTTTTCTACTACAGGTATAATATCATGTTAAAATGCTGGGAAGCAGATCCATCACTTCGTCCTTCCTTTGACGGTCTCTACCTTGACTTACACCAATTACAAAACAACACAGTAAGTACACAGGAATCCCGTTACTAATCKACCATAGGAACCCCAGTCCTGATACATTCAAGACCACATTGGCTAATATTTGCAATTTACTTCAAAAACGCWTAACAAATCATCTCTTCGCTGAAATCCCATTCAAGGAATAATAGCCTGTGAATTAACAACGAAATGATACTGAATAGTTGCAGAAAATAATTTCAAAAAAAATCAAAGAATATAAAATGATAAGAATCGAAAAGAAATAACTCAGTTGATATCTCTATTTTCTTTCCAGAGCAGCCCCAGCTACTATGAAAACATGAATGACACTGAACATTTAACAGAAACTTACGCGTGATGGYGTTWCGAGGCAYTGTGTGACATAAATGATCATTGCGTGAAATGACCGATGATTTGCGTGAAATGATTGCATATCGTTGCGGATGACTTACGCGATATTATGGATGACTTGCTTTCATTTGGGAACAGTATTACGCGATATTTTACGTCAAGTCGAAGTACAAGAAGTTAAGTTCCTTTGTGTTTCACTATTTTGTTAAGTACAGTCAAGCACGTATAAAACCATAAAGAATATTCTAGAACATTTTCTKACGTTGCACACTATTGCTAGCGTTCTCTCAGATTTTGCCTGTTCGTAGATGCAGAATATAACATGATATAAAGATATTGAGGTGCAGTCAGTATGGGGTGATCCAGTCCTAGCTGAGCGTGATAGTTTCTAACAAAAGAAATGAGTCTCMTAAACCGCGTTTGTATATTGCCCATGTATGCACCCTATTCAACTTAYTGTAGAAAAATCCCAGACGCGATGATATAATTGCTCTTTCAACCATTTCAATACAACCTTAATATCAGGCGTCCATCAAAATCTATTTRTCCAGCTGAATGYAGTTTTGAACTGATTTCTATATTTGCTGAACCTCCCAGAGAGATCGCGGTTTTACCTTTCTCCAAAAAATTGCTAATTGGATTTTAATTACGTGATCATAATTGGATTTTTAAACCATTAAAATTCTCATTTTAAAAGTCGTTTGGGTTTCAATGCCGCGAGGTCTGAACTCAGACCATAACTGCTGTTATTTCAGAATAATTTCATGATGGTTCTTGGACAACACCGCCTCATCGTAGGACCATAAACTACGCAATTCTCGTCTACCTTTTCATTTGGACTCTATCGTTCACTACGATATTTCACTTCAGTTTGAACGATCTGCATTTGGTTGTGTTTAGCTTTGTGTAATTCTTGTATTGCTGTAGACTTGCGGTTTGTGCATTCCTCTTCGTTACCTTGATTCTTCTTTTTCCTTTTTTTTTATTTCTTCTTCGTTTGACTAAATCTTGCTCATTCTGTCTATTCTTCAATTTCCTCAGTTTATACTCCTATAACTCAATTTATATTTCAAATTAATCCATCCTTTTCTAATTTGGAACAGATTATTTTCTCTGAAATATTTTACATTTATCGTATTAATGATTTATTCTTAAATCTTGCTTTGATTGGATGAAATAGTGTTCTTGTTTTGATTTGAAGCTTCCACCTGATATCTTCTATCTCTGAAACGAGAGCATTTTTCGACATCAATGTAAATATTCAACAGATTATTTGAGTAAATATTCCATGTAAAATTGTGTCAGTTATAAATCTTCCTTTTTCTAAATAGAAAACTCAGAAAATATCTTTAGGGAACATATCTTATGTATCTGTGATTAATGCAATGAAAGTTATAAACAGTGTTTGTCTTGAGTTATATAACTAATAACAATTTTTTTACGAAAACCTTTGTTTATTAGTACTATTTTGTACTGTTTTTTAATAGTAAGAACCACTATTAACGGTATATCAGTATCGAAATAAAAATCAAATGAAAAACTGTGTGATTATTGACAGTGAAAATGTCAAAAAAGTGTATTCAAGGTATGTGCGTTRTTGCATGCAACATAAATAACATGATCAACGTTCCTAAGCCACGTCGGAAAGTCTTGTTCGTAATCCATACAAGACTATAATGGCGCCGATGAAAACAGTCATTCACAACAACTTCCTAAGGTCCAAGAAATACGAGATACAGAAATAGYTTATTGCTGTTCGAGTTTAGCTTCAGTGTTTCTAGTATTTCGTGGCCTTTCTTTTGCGCGGCAAGTTACCAGTCAAATTGTAAACTAGACRCTCCTAAAGCGCTTACTTGKGCTGCATTATAGGGCTGTCACGTGATAGATGACATCACATTTTAATAGGACACACCCACTCGACGACGTTAGCTACAGTTTATTCCTCCAGGTTTGATTGACGTTGATCCAAAGCATCCAATGTTCCCACAGTCACGTGATAAAAGACGTCACATCGAAGCAAGCTACTGTGCGTCAGCCATAATAAAATACTTTTGGTTAAGTTATAAATGCGTGACGCCTTTTGGCATAGTTGGAGCGAGCATACTGTTCGACTTCCGCTAACGTCCCCGATGACGTAGAAAATGTCCAAATCTCTGTATGAACTTGGCAGTGTTATCAAGAGAAACTCTATAAGCAGCCCGAGTAACAAGTGTTGTCCGCGCCATACATACTGTACAAATAGCGTCATGCATCAAATCAAACCACACCTGGACACACCTAGCACTACAACTACTTAAAGTCTATTTCGGTAAATAAAAGCACAGCATAATTGTTCTTGTCTAAGGAATGCACAAATATGCACGACCTTTTTTACTCCTCGGAAAAGAACTTGACACAATGTCTCCTGTATGGTGGACATGATTTCTATTTATATTCAAGTCTCAATATCTGACGTCTTCACATACAATTGTTATGATATATAAATAATAAACTTATATTCAAATCACCTWTTTCATTTATTATTATCTGAGTCTGTCATTTGGCATCGATATTTCTCACATGCCTAGGGCTAGTCTAGCGATTATATCAATACTATCGGTGAGCTATATCCTGGAAGAACGCATCCTTCAAACTCACATCCTAAGATGAGTGATACTCATGAGTGAATGGTGTATATTCATGTTATAATGACTATTTTTATCGCTTCAAATCTTTTCGTCTCCGAGAGTGCCTTGTGAGTGTTTTGGCGGTGCTTTTGGTGCATTTCAAGGGTCTGTTCAAACAAACCCCATCGTGGCGTCTCATTCTCGAGATTCTCTATCTTAAAATATCAAGAACGTAACAACTGAAAACCAAACTCAAAAAAACAATGGTACGATTCAAAACAAATATTGGTCWTACGGGGAAAAAACCTCTCGCTGTATTTCCTGTTTCTTTTTCAGTTGATTAGAAAGGAGCTTTTATTATTGTCCATTTTTCTGTTTTTGTTTTGTCTTTTTTCATTGTGTTTCTTTTACGGGTCAAAAGCCGCATTTTACCACATTTCACAAAAATGTTTGAAAAATTCTTGTCTTTTGATTTTAGTCACACTAAATGCAAAATCGTGACGGTATTGCTAACGTTACTCAAAGGACAGTATCATGCCAATTCACATTACTGGTGATCATGTATGGCTGGCAGAACGTCAAAAAGTGTTGCTTGGATAATGCAAAAGTTACATACGAACTAATAGTGTGACTCATATTTTCACTCAGTCACGGCGTGGACATCAAGAAAGAGCCACCCTAGGCCAGGCTTATTATGCTAAATCAGTTTTTGTGTTTTAAATCTCTCCTTTATTGGATAAAGTGTCGTAAATCTGAGTATATTCCATTCCCTGTGTTCAAATTAATGAATAATCGTATTTTTCACGAATTAAAATGGAATTAATTTGTTTATTTACATTTTCGCATCTTACAAACATTCACTATCCAAAGGTCCAATTCCATGGTTAGACAATTACATGAATATACCATCAAAAATTTCCGAGTCTCTTTTCTTATTTAAATCATTGTTCATAGACGTACGTTAATAAACTAACGATTGTTGGAAACAAACGTCACAAAGGGAAATATGAAAAGGATTTCGGTGTTGRTCATTAAGCGACACATGTACAAAAGTGTAAATGTAAAATAAACCAATATAGGAAAAGGTTTTCACTTTAATCCTTCTCGCTAAAAGAGCTTTGTTATGAGAATAAGGATACATATTTTTATCTGCGAACTCGTTAACTACTTTCATTAAAGCCCCTCAGCTAATGAAGTGGGATGAAAGCAGTGGAAATCGGTACTGTTATCATCCAATACTCAGTGTTTTGCTTTGGGGACTATTTGCACAGCTTGTAGTCCAGTGGTCCGTGGTTTTACGGGTGAGTGGAAGTTCCTTTACGCTAGCTTGACATTGGATGCTATAAATTATCTTGCAATGTTTTGACGTGAGACAGATCTTTTAACGGAATTTATCAATCTTAATGGACAGCATTTCGACGTTTTAATACTAATACGCAAACAATATAGTGTTGGTGCTGTCGGATCCAAAGGTGATTGGAATCCTACCGAGATAAAATTAACTCTAGCAACAAAGTCACTTGACGAGAATGTGATTGTATATGAATGCAGATCTTAAATCAAACCGCAGTGGGTAACAAACTTCAACATTTGGTCGATCGATAACATTTCGTGTTGGTCACAACTTGTAAAACCACGTAAAAGGCTTTCGCGGTCTTGTGACTGTGTTTGGTGACCTTTGAGAGACGCTAAAATCTACATTTCAGAGCCAAATTCGTAGAATAAGGATGTTATTAACGTGATTAATGTAAATCAGTAAGCGAACAAGAATCAAACAAGCAAAATGGATGGGAGAAAGAAAAAGAATGATCAGCTTTACAACTACATGAATCGACAGAGAGGATTTTCATTCTGTCATCATAATTCCACAGTATCAAATCCTGTGGAGAACAACAACGAACTTCAGATGAAGAAATTGCCGTCCATTATGATTCAGAATGGAGAGCCTGACAGCCCTGTTCAAGATGTTTCGACTAATATCTCCTATGATAGCACTTATCTGAACCCCAGCAACACTCTAGACTCGGCCGTTGCACAAAATAACTCACGGCTTTTGGAGAAACTTCTTACTTCGGCTGCTAACATATCGTTAGAAGGTCAAAACGCCAGTGGAGGAACACCGATACACGAGGCAGCGTACCAAGGGAAATTGTCCTGTCTGAGAGTGTTTTTGAAATTCGGTGCTAATGTCAACTTGCGTGATCGTGAAGGTTGGACGCCGCTGCATGCTGCAATCTGCGGCGGAGATGCTAATTCTGTTCTTCTACTTTTAAAACACGGGGCAAGTATTAACGCAACAGCGAATGATGGTATTAAACCTATTGATATGGCTATACAGAGTGAAGATGAAGAGATTACTAAGGCTCTTTTACAAGCTGATAGAACATCTATCGAGAAAGATGGTCCTGCGCCTCTTGCCTCAGCAGAAGACCTCGAATCTGATTACAGCCTGTAGAGCTAACGTATTTTATAAATATTTTCATATAGAAAAAATTCAATCAAACATTTTGGTTTGAGTGGGTGCTTCGACAATCTACTGACACAGTTAATTTACATAATAACACTGACTGAGATATATTCAAAACATACGTCCAATATCCAGCAGCATTATACTGGATTAATTCACTTCATATCGTTGGCAGCTTGGGTTTTTATTTTACCAAGTGAATATATGTTAATCTCGTGGTGAAAAGGATCTTTGTAGTCTTTGTATAAACATCACACGTGCAAATCATCGACCAAGTACAAAACACTACAATACATTATCCCACGGACCATTTACAATAAACTAAAAGAGCTCTCGCTATTTTGTATAAATAAATTATTTAAGAATCAACGTAACAACGGCTTTTTTCAGTAATTGGAATTTCAAATTCATGTTTTTTCAAATTATTACAGAGGATTGGGRATTCAATTTATTTGTATTAAAAATAGATGTGGTTTTAGTGGAATCACGTGAATTGTTTATACATGTTATGTTTCACGTATTCTTGCATCATTTCCTTACGAAAAACGACCAAGATATATGACGCATGTAATGTCTCTACGTGTACATGAAAAATATCAAGAATGCAAATTGCTAGTTTTGTATAGCAAATATTGTACAGCATTGTACCGTTCATTCTAAACCAAAGGGAGAAAAAAAAAATGGTTAATGTCACTTTTTGTGTAAAAACATAAAGCTGTGGTAAATAAGCCAGGATACTTTTTATCCGATTAAAAAACAATTGATCAYAGAAAATAACTTCTTCGTTTTCTTATTATTATATTCTGACAAGCAAAAAAATAACAAACAAAATAAATAATATATTTATCTTTTCACAGAAAATGTATTTTTTTTYTATTTTCCGRCGTAGTTTGAAAAAAGCGAAAAAAATGCGTTAGAATTACCTCGCAGCATCTTTTTATTCTATTTGGTATTTTAACGACGACACTAAATAGAAAAGAAAAAAGGGCTGGTGCCATTCTAACGCATGTTTTCGTCTTTATCCAAACTACGCCGGAAAATGAMAAATTACATTTTCCTGAAATACTCAGTGAAAAAGCTGAACGTATTAATACGATACATGACTTAGACAGTTGATCTCCAAATGACAGAATAAGTACGAACCAATTTGACATTTCGTTCCGGCTTTTTATATAAACGAGAAACAAAGCAAATGTTCCTTGATCGTTTGCATTGTAATTACAGAGAAGAAGATAAACAAACATCCTTTTTAGAGAACGCAGGGAAATAAGGTGATAAAAGACGCAAATAAAAAGAGACATCTTAATGAATGGTTCATATCGTATTTATTCAAACAGATTTATTTGTCATTTGTGTGTCTGTTGAACGACAGACGGGAATATCAGAATCTATTTGCTAACTAAGCTTTAATGATTCTCGAAAAGCGAAATGTTATACAGGTAAAAACCTTTCCTTTCGATCTCTTCTGGTATCACGAGAAGCCGACGGCTTCCTGGGAGAAATATATCTGTTCTTATATCCCAACCAGCTGCARGTCACAACTGGTTGCCAGMGAGAAATTCAGGAAACAAGATCTATCCAGACAAGAAATACTTTCTGAGGATTTTTGCCAGGAAAATATAAATTTCAAAATTAAAAAAACTATAAGCCGGTTTTGACCATAAAAACGTTTGCCAGGAACAAATTTTTTTTAAAGGATGGGCGCCACATTGCTTGTGAGATTCGGTCAACAATCGTAGCTCAAATTCGCACAAGAACAGTTATTTAGAAGAAGCCATATATGGGCGTATCCAGGATTTTCAGTGGGGGRYYCYTYMWWAMMAAWT